TAGTTCTCGAAGAGGTGGGGGCGGGGCGAGCTGGGCTGCGGGTCTCGGGCGTGTGAGGGCCGAGGCTCGCCGGCCGCGACTGACGTTCTGGAACCGTTCTCTGCCTAGAACCCAGCCGCCGCCTCGGCTCCCGGTGGGTCCCTGCCACAAGTTCGCCGATAACTACTACTGCAGCCGGGACGGACGCCGAGAGTCCCTCCCGCCCGTCGTGGTCGCGGCGGCACAGAAAAGCTACAGGTTTGGGGAAGAGTGGCTGGAAAGCTGCCTGTCGGGAAAGAGGTCCGACCTGGTCGGTCCCGCAGCTCTGCTGCTGCCGCTGTTTGAGCTGAGCGGGTTTAAGCCTGGTTTGGCTTATGCCAGAAGCACGGAACTCTTCCAGTAAGCAGTATTGGATTTCACAGGTTGGTAGAAGAGTGCTGAACTAATTCTTTGTGTCTCTGTCTCCTCTTGGATAAGTGAAATGGCTGGAAGTCGGCTTAACAAACCCCTTTAGCTGGAGCGCATCCAAAGAAGAGCAATGAAGCTGGCGAGGGGTCTGGAGAACAAGTCTGATGAGGAGCGGCTGAGGGAACTGGGGTTGTTTAGCTTGGAGAAAAGGAGGCTCAGGGGAGACTTAACGCTCTCTACAACTCCCTGAAAGGAGGTTGTAGTGAGGGGGGGGGCGGTCTCTTTTCCCAAGTAACGAGCGACAGGACGAGAGGAAACGGCCTCAAGTTGCGCCAGGGGAGGTTTAGATTGGACACGAGGAAAAATTTCTTCACCGAAAGGGTTGTCAAGCACTGGGACAGGCTGCCCAGGGAAGGGGTTGAGTCACCATCCCTGGGGGTATTTAAAAGACGTGTAGACATGGCGCTTAGGGACATGGTTTAGTGGTGGACTTGGCAGTGTTAGGTTAACGGTTGGACTCGACTGTTAAGGTAGAAATGATTCTACGATTCTGTAATAAAACCTGTACTGAGTCTGGTTTTCATAGCGTTATGAAACACTCTTCTCTCTTCCTTCTTCTACCCCAGTTCAGACTCTGCAGTGACAACAGCTGAGAAAAAACCAGTGACGCCAGGACCAGCACTTAAGAAGTGGGAAATTTCGAAAGACCAGCCCTATTTGTGAGAAACAAGTATGATGAGGCTGGACATGCGGGTCACAGTTCATTACAAAGCAGCACTCTAATGGGGAGGCCTGTGGTGGATTTTGCTACAGCGATGCTGCATGGAACTTGTCCTAGTGCTGCTGATGCATTACCAATAAATGTATTTAAAGCTGTGATTATCCCCTCCCCCCCTTTTGTCTGTTCTATTTGAATTATCCAAATTACACCCAAAACAGTATTAAAAAGTAGTAAGGTTTTCTTGAGGGAGTAGCAACATAGCATGTGTGTTTGAGCTTAGGCTCAGTAGATTTGTAAGCTACAGCTGAGATACCACTTAAGGACAGAGCTGAACAAAACACACCCTATTAAAAAAAAAAAAAAAGGACCCGATGCCCTGATTTTTGCAGTAAGAGACGCGAGTTAAGTAGCCTGTGGCACTCTTGCCACAAGTGCCCGATGTCCTGGGTGGCACGCCCAGCTGCAGCGACATGCTTTCTGGATGCTGAGCGCTGTAGCCCAGTCCCTCCCCGATGACAACGGGTCACCTGGGCTCACGCTGCGGTGACCCGGCCATCGCAGTGCGCTACGCTGGTTATTTTTCAGTGAACCGCTGCAGCACGCGCCTGTTCCCCTGGAGCTGTTGGAGGACGCGGGAGGAGCGCCGGCGTGATTATGCGGAGCCCTTGCACAGCCAGCTGCCTGCCAGCAGCCGTTTTATCCCACCGCCTCAAGGGGATAAAGAGTCACAGGGAGAAGCAGAGGCGAATGCAGGCGCGGCTCCGCGGCGGCCGGCAGCTGAGGCCGAAGCGAGCTGAGAGGTGCACGGTGAAGGCCGGCTCGCTCTGAGCAAGCCGCCCTGCT